TTTTTTTTTTTGTTACCCCCGGGGAAAATGGAGAAGTTTGTTTTTTTTTCCCGAAAAAAAGAATAAAAAAAAAAAAAAAAAAAAAAAAAAAAAACAAGAAACAAACAAACAAAAAAAACTGTTTTGGGAAATGTATTTTTTAAAAACACGCACATTTCTTCAGGTGGAATAATAATATTACAAATCCTTCTTTTTCTCTGTAAACAGCGCCATCTGCTGGGACTACCACGTAAAACACGTTCATTAAATCATTTCCCATGACAACAGAACCCACCCACGCAGGATAATTTCCTTTCAATAGCAGCACAAGACTTGTTCTATTACATATATTATATTATTTTTTTTGTGTGTGTTGCTGGTTCTGTCATTCGGCTTCAGTCCTGAGTTGCTTGTGTTTTTGACCCAGTGAAGTTTGTGGGGTTCGCTTCGCTCCCTCCTTCAGACCAGGTGCAGCGTGGGACAGCTGCGGCTCTCATTCGTCGGCACGCCGTCCGACTTTTGGCCGCAGGAACCCGGCCGACACCCGGCATGCCTGAAGACAAAGCGAATAGTGGCGGTGAGGGAGGAGAAGAAGGAGGAGGAGGAAGAGGAGGGACAGGAATAGAAGTCCAGTTTCATCACACTGTCCCCGTTTTCTTACTTTTTTTTTTTCTATTTTTCTTTTTTGAACTCTGAAGAGCAGCTTTGCTGAGCCGGCATGTCTTTATCAAGCAGCCCAGTAATTACAGTCACACTCAGGCAGCGTGAGAGTCTCGTTTCTGGCTCGAGAGCTTTAATCAAGAGATCGTTAACGGTCCTCTGCTCTCGCGCTACCAGAAAATTCAATCCTCCTCGGTCACAGATGTCATGGCGCTATCTGTTCTGTTCCCCTTCATTCCGCTCTTGAGAACCGCTTTCTAGCAAAAATTTGAAGACGATAAAATGAACGTCTGCAGTGCGTGGATATGATCGGTTATGAAATCTTTTTTTCTTTTGTAAATTTAGCTACTTTTCAACAAGGCCTGAGCAGAAAAGAGAGCTAACGACGTTCTCCTTATTAGCCCAAAGGTGGTTGCTGAGGTTGCTAAGCCATGTTTAATTACGCAGTGTATTTCTCTTTTCCATGTTAAATGTAAGGCATTAAGTTTGCCTAATATTTCAGGCTCGTTTGAAGAAAACTGAAAAAATATTTAGTCTATTCTGAAAAATAAAAACAGCATCCAGCAGATATTTGAGCACCAAGATGTACTTTAGAGTATAAGTCAAAAAGTATTTACCGTAAAAATATAAGGAAACCAGAAAACGTGGAAAAAAACATAACTTTTTGTTGTAGCTAACATTTTAGCAACCAGAATTTTAAACGTCATGGTTTTGTCCTCATTTATTTACATTTTTCCTTGAATTATGGTTGTGGGGCCACACAAAATCAGTTCAGGGGCTGCAAATGGCCTCCGGGCCTTACTTTGAACACCCTGGCTCTAGAGTGTAAATCAGAATGCTGCTTATTTGTATTTTGGAACCGCGTCTCCCTGAAAACCTAACCACAACATTTAGGTCGTACAGAGATGATGTCACATCGGGTCATTTCTATCTTCCACTTCAACTGAAACACACCCAGAAGAAACCCAGTCAGATTTATTTATCAACCCTGATCAACTCGATTAAGATTCAGTTGTAGCAAAGTTTTCCTTTAGCATCACTGACACTTCCCCCCTTCCTTCGTGTCTAATTTAGTTCAGGAACGATTCAAAGTAAGAAGCCGTCCGACAGTTTGTGCCAGACGCGGCGGCCTCTAACTCCTTCCCACAGAACGACCTTCAGGCTGGTTCGGGCAGCTGTTGTGCTGCGACTCCGTCTGTCAACAGAGCTGGGGAACGAGACGGTTCCGTCTGGTCTCAGTTAACCAGTCAGAGTCTGATTCGCTTCAGTGGGACACAACATGACTCGGGTCAAAGCGAGGAGTTTGATTTTCTGATTGGGTTGCATTCTGGGATGGGAGGTCGATCGACCCGAAAGGTTTTTTTTTCCACCCCGGGGTTTAGACTGTCCTTCCTTTATCCTCTACACGTGTCCTTAAATTAAGACGAAGAAATCAAATAGAAAGAGTGTGACCGAGGAGGATAGATACATTCTTAAAATGCCAGAATGAAAGGCTTGGTTTGTTTTCATTTGCGTTTCTTTTTGCATCTCAACCCTAATTTTTCAGAATGCATGAAACTGGTGCGGCTACTAATTGGAGATTCTTGATTTTATTACTGGCTGTAAATTGCTGCTCAATTTGTAATTTAAGTGTCAAAATAGTAATTCTCAAAACAAATTGCATTTGGTGACGTTTAATGATTCTCCTTAAAGGATGTAATTACATGGCTCCCACATTAAAGAATATAATATTCTTCTTCATGTTCAAATATGTGAGACTGAAGGTTTTTATTTCATCAGGCTGATGCTTAAATATTATTTTGCAGCCCAACGGAGCGGAGACCCGTCCTCTGCTCTCCCCTGAATCCCTGCTGCTGTCACCGCATTCAGACCGGCTGATGGATTCTCGCACAGGGAACCGGTAAGACCCAGATATCTGGCACCATGCTGTGAGTGAGCGTGTTCAGACAGTACCTCTCATCTCTGGCAGAGCACATCAGATCCTCCAGGCTTTCCTTGTGAATCACGGGCGTCACGACGATCTGACGAACACATACCTTTGTTTACAAAACCTCACTCTAGTGCATCCTGCACGTCAAAAACTCAGAGTCTTCTTCAGGCGGAGGTGGGGAGAATACCCTCAAAAAGTAGCAGCACTACTTCTACGTGTTTTTTTTTTTTACTCTGGTGAAAATAAAAATATCCAATTACTCAAGTAGGAGTAAAAGAAAAACCCAAAACCACTCAAGTACTGACCAGAATATCAGTTATTTAATATTTAAAAATGACATCATCAGATGGACCAAAACATAAAGTCAAGTATGTGGAAATCTTGATAATTAGATGTATTTTTAAGTAGCATAGTTACAAAAACTTTTTTTTTTTTTTGAATCTTAGTTGAACTTATGGATAACGTTTTACAATAGGGCTCCTCTATAGATCGCTAATAAATAGTTTATCAATTTATCTATGAGCATTTTAAAAATCATTAATAACTGTTTATTATGCATTAAATAAGGAAGGAGACTGTGCTAAAATATTACAATTACAAATACTTATTGTACGTACAAGTTAGTCTGAAATGTTTAGTGTAACAACTGCAGATAAAACATGTAGGTGAACAGATTTGGCAAGAATTTTGTCTCCTTCTTACCTTGTTTGTGCAACAAACAGTTATTGACGATTTATAAAGTGTTTAGAGATGAATTGATAACATATCTGGGAGCGTTATTGTAAACTGGGACCTATTTATGAATCTTTAACAAAAGCTGCTGGTGTGTGTTTGTCTGGTGGGTTTTGGGTCAGAACAAGCTAAGCTCGCTCTTCATTCAGTGAAGTAGAGAATCCAGGAATTTTACTCAAGTAAAAGTAAAAAGCACAGCGTAGTACAAATACTCCTGGAAGTGCATGCCCCCCCTCCCCCAAAAAAAAAAAAAAAAAAAATTTCCTAAAGCAAACGTAATTGAGTAAATGTAGCCGAGTACTCTCCGACTCTGACCTTGGGATAGCACTGGCAGAGGCTCCACACTGTCCCAGCACAGACCATGGTGACCCCGACGACGCACATCGTCACGTAGACGTGCGGGCGCTCCCGCATCATGAGGAACATGCCCACGGCAACCACAGAGAGGCCGGCCACTATGAGTCCGTACCGGTAAGGCTTCCCCTCTGCCATCGCTGTGAACCTCTGCTGCAGCCCACAAGCGTGCGCTAACTTGAAGCATGATGGAGGAGGGAGGCGGGGGGTAAAAAAAGATTTAGTGGGCTCTTTGTGTGACGGAGCTTGAAGGTGAAGGTGCAGAAACTGCAGTGGTGGTTCCACTCGGCTGCTTATTACAGCCTGCAGACACGCTGCTCAGGTCAGGTATAAAATTGCAGGTGTGCGTCTGTACCTGAAAGGTCACCTTGCTTCAGGCTGCTGTGTTAAAAAAAAAAAAAAAGAGAAGCTAAATAAAATCTCAGCTTGTGGGGGCATTGCTCAGTCGGCTGTCGGTGTTTGTTTGGTCTACAGCCATCCTCCTGTTTCCTCCTCTTCAGGGATTTCCTTCCTCCGGTTAATCAGCTTTACAGCAGTCGATACCAGCCTTAGAAAGCTGCTCAGCAGTTTCTTAGCTCTAGTTTATGGTGATGCCACAACAAAACAAACAAGAGGCAGGCAGCCTGCAAACTGTGACCAATCAGTATTAATGCACTGTTAGCATTCTGCTCTCACTGCTTTCCAGTGCAGGAGTCACATGACTTCCAACAGGTTAGGAGGATTCTCCAGTTTGGTGTCTAGAAGAGGCCAGCATCAGTCTGCTGACTTGGAATCCAACAAAATGGAATGTATTAGCAAGACATAGTGAAACGATTAGCTTTTGGTGATTTATTACCCTCCCAATCGGTGTTTAGCTAATGTTAAGATTCACTTTAGTCGTGTCTCTTTTAATTCTTGCTGCACCCAGACTGGCAGAAGTTTAGTGTCCTGAGCCACTGAAAACACTTTGCCATCTGCCCATTCAGCAGTTTCATATGAATGCTGAACCACATGATGACTAACATACAGTTAACAGTGGCGCCCCCAAATGGGGAGGGGGGGGGGCTACAGGGGACCGTGGCCCGCTTCTTGAAAAGTGTTGGAGTCATGTTCCGGTCACAGAAAGACGTATGTCTTTATATGTAAACGTATGACAGGTTTACGTTTAAAAAATTAAAAATAGGCACACACGCAGATGTACGGCTCTGGGAAATAAAATGAAGAGCCCGCTTCACTGAACCCCACTGAAAACCTCCTGGTTATTCCACCAATTATTGGTTTCTGAACTCTTCCTGAGTTTAAACATTAGTGCTGTTGTTTCTAAATAAATATCAACTCGTTTTCTTGGCATTATCTGAGGTCTGAAAGCGTCGCATCTTTTTATGTTATTTTGACCATTTCTCATTTTCTGCAAGTAAATACTAAACGTTTGCGTGGAATTTCACAGACGTGACCTCAGTAGTTCACAGAATAAAAGAACAATGTTCTTTTTACTCAAACATATACCTATACAAAGTAAACTCAGAGAAACTGATCATTTTAAGTGGTCTCTCATACACATGACTGTTTTGTATCTGTATTTTTGTGATCTTCAGGTCTGAGTTTGCAGGGCCTCCTTGCCGCCACCCTGATCTTCAGCTCCCTCTGCAGATTCTCTATTAGTTTCCAGTGAAAACTCATAATGTTAATATCAATTCCAGTCAGCAGAAACATGTTGGTGAAATTAAAAGATTACAGCAAACCCAAATCTGTCAGGGATACGATGTTAATCACTTCAGGCTTCAGATGATCAGCGGCTTTGCACTCAACTATTATGCAAAATGTGCAGCGTCCCAGAAAAGCTCAAAACGTGCTAATTGGTGCCTGAAGGGGGGGAAACATGCACGTCCTGTCATTTCTCTGGCATGGTTTGATTTGTGGGTTTGTTTGTTTTCTTTTGTCTTTTTTGCTTATTGATCTCTAGATTTTGACACATTCTTGTTATTAACAAGTCGTTCCAACAATAACTCAGTATATCCCAAGATTAGCCGTGAAACCATTAGCAAACATGTACCTGTGGATTTACTGAGGCAAGTTCCCTCTGTTGCCTCTACAACACCGACTAATATACACAAATATTGAAAAAAATTAATACCAGAAATCCTAGAAAGTATTATAAAAACATCCTTTATTTTCTTGCGTTAGAAACTGCCTTGATGACAAACAAAGCATATTTTCATCCTATTCTCAGTGCATGACCCCTTATAAATGTGACACATTCACCTTTCAGTCTAAAAGAGGTTGTTTAAAACATTTTTAATACAAGTGGATTATTTCTTAAATTCTCTATATAAACGTAACAAAATGTAGCTCCTTTTTTTTGTGAATCCCACATTAGCTGGGAGGCTGCACAGTCTCCTCACAGGAGAAACTGTCCAGGTCGTTCTCTCTGTGAATGTAGCTTGTTTTTATTCCCCCCCGCCCCCCCAAACATGACCGTCAGGTTAATGGGTAAGCTAAGAATGGAACAGCCTGTCCTCTGATGCAAGATGTAACCTGCCACATCCGCTTTTAAATCAGTTTGAGGTCATTACACTTGTTTATGTTCCCTTTTTATACAGATTTGTTGAAATGTGCAGGAAACACTTTATATCTTGGGATTAGTTTTTATATGTCGTTTTGAACCTCTTAATGCTGCTGTTACACCTGACAACAAAGCCCGTTTCTTTTCTATTCTTCTGGAAAGTATTTATCATCCATCCATCCATTTTCTGTACACTGTTGTCCCTAATGGGGTCAGGAGGTGCAGGTGTCTAGCCCCAGCGAACGTTTCGGGCGAGAGGCTTGATTCACCCTGGACAGGTCGCCAGTCTGTCGCAGAGCAACACAGAGACAGACAGAAAAAAAAAAAAAAAACATGCATCACAAACCTAAGGAGAATTTAGAGAGAGCAATTAACCTGACAGTCATGTTTTTGGACTGTGGGAGGAAACCGGAGTACCCAGAGAGAACTCACCATGCACAGGGAGAACATGCAAACTCCATGCAGAAAGACCACGGGCCAGGAATTGAACCCAGAACCTTCTTGCAGCAAGGCAACAGGGCTACCACCTGTGCAGACCGTATTTATCATCCTTTCTTTTTTTTCTCTCAAAAATTCTGGCATTTTATCAAGAGTTTGGACTTTCAGAGCTGCTGCGATCCAGGCCATAACAAAGCAGCTAATGGGGAAGGGAAAAAAAACGAAACATAAATAAATAAATGGATAATTGCATAAAATAAATGACACGGCGGCAGACTGAGACAACATAACAATGCATATGGGTTGCAGACTCTAGCGAATTAAAAACAAGATATGTGTTTTAACATACGTATGCTGCAGATATACGAAACTGAAGTTTCTCGTGTTTAAACGTAAAGACAAGATGACTTAGATCTAACACCAACATTTCCTGACAACAGTTCAACTTTCACCACTCCTGTCTTTGTGACGGCCCAACCGTCCACGGGAAGCCTGAGCTGAAGTCGAGTCTCGATTGGTCGATTTCAAGGCACGGAGGAGGTTTGCAGCTGTGAGTTCGGACAAAGCTCTCGCTTGGAAGAACAATAGGCACCGGAGGAGTGTAGGAAGTCCAACCCAGTTTAAACTTGCTGGCTGCCATCTTGATTTGTACATTCAGTATGCTCAGGGTTGCTGGGTTGCTGTTCGTTGTCCTCGTAGTTCGGCTGTTCGCCGTGCTCCTGATTGGCCTCCTGATTGGCCTCCTGGTTTATGTGCTGGCTCTTCATCACCGTGTCGTACGACGGCGGCGGCTCCATGGTCCAGGGCGGCGGGGTGGACGGCAGGGAGGGTTCGGGCTCCGGTGAAGTGCTGGCAGCGTCCGTCGACATCTCCCGCCGGATTCGGTCCAGCCTCCTGATGGGAACAGAGATGCGGTGAGAACTTCCTGTTTTAATCTGAAACAGAAGCTTCCTGAATACTTCCGGAACGCCTTTGCTCAGTGCTAACTGCGCCAAGCGCGCCCGCTACAACTCTGGTTTCCCTGTTGATGCAGATGGACACTGAATTTTTCTGAGCTTTCATTTCATAGAATTGAATTGTAAATAGGGCCACCAACAGCAACCATCGACTTTTGGGATGCACGTTTTCAATAGAATAGTAATTTTAGAAAATAGAAAGCTGCATATTCTATTCTTATTCAGAAAAAATAAATAAGAAAATAGGAAGCAATTTGCTAAAAGAAAAAAAAAGGTGGGAAATTGGATTCCATTATTTTTATAAAGTCAAATGTCTGAGATCCTTTTTGTGCTTTAAAGCTACAACAATGTTATATAGATTATTGATTCCTGACCAAAGAAAAACAGGACATGTTGCTTGTTTTATTGAGATATTGCGATTGTAATTTTTGTGGCTTGTGAGTGCTTTCAGTCTGATGATGTCTGGCACGCAGTGGGAATAGTTGGGACACCGCTGACTTATGCAATTAAAGACAACACAGATCACATCCTAAATGAGTCACATGAAATAAAAACAACGCTAAACAACGTCTCCCATCTTACAACTGATGGAGCGTCTCACGTTTGCAGAGGAATCCTTTAGTCATTTAGAGTTTAAAGGAAATGCCTCCAAACAAAATGCTGTTGAAAATATATATGTATAAAAAGACAAATTTACCAACAAACAAAAAAACACAGAAATGTGGTTGAGAGTGACGAGGTGAATTTGCCTTAACTTAAAATGATAATTAATGTCTAAACACGGCTGGAAAAATTTTAGGCAGGATATTTGTGCCAACAAATTATGCTTAATAACTATTCAGTCTATCTGTTTATGGGAAATGGCTTATGGGTGTTTCGTGTTCGGAAGAAATCTGACTTTTTCCAAACATCTGCTTAACACAGATCCATCCTTATCACACCCAGACGCCTGATGTTATCAAACTACTTCTGTGAAACGGTAGAATCTGTTTTTGGATTCAATCAATGACTGGATCCAATACAATCATTCAGTTTTCAATTGAAGTGCTAACATTGTGATCTGGAGAATGCAGACTCTGTCTCTGCCCATTTCCTGTCTGGTAGCTGTCAATAAAGGCACAAACAAAACAAAACAAAAAAAGAAATTCTGACAAAAATTTTAATTTTTCAGTTTAAGTTTTGGTATATTAGATTGATATAAATATACTGTATATATATATATTTAATACTC